TATTGGAAGTTACCCTATCAGCGCGTGCGCAATTTACACTACCAGCACACTTCGGTAAGATCAAACAAAGTCACGCGGAGTTAGTTTTTCTCTTTCTTTTGCTCTTGTTTCTCTGTTTTTTTCTCTTACTTTGTCTTTGCTTGTACTTTTTTTTTGTTTTGCACCATGTGAAACACACACACACAAAAAAACATCTAAAATGTAAGTGAATTTGCAAGCTATTGAGTTGTTTTTATTTTCCGCACGCAGTGTGACGTAAGTAACCGGAAGTGAAATTTCACCTCCTTAGCAACGCGCGCGAGCGCGGGCATGAATCGGTTAATGGGCCCTTCACGTTGGTCTGAATTAGGGAACTAAGCATAAGGCAGGTCTGAAACAGGGTATTGATTTAGGCCAGGTCATAAATAGGGTATTGAAAATCGCAGATTTTGGTCATAAATGGGGTAAGGGTTTTGGACAGTGGGCCGCACACCTCCACAAATTTTTCTCGGGACGGAACTTATTAATACCAACGGCTCTTGATCTCGGTCGCTGTATTCCTTGCTGGTGAAGTCCCATAAAATTTCTTTTCTTCGTAGCTAGTAATTAGCTGCCCTATTTGCTCGTCTGTGCATTATATTACCTTTCGTATCCCTTATTTTTCTTACTCGTAGCGGAAGTTTCGCTCGAGTTTTTCCTTGAGTCAGCCATGTTGTCTTTCTCTCGGGCGGGAAACCCTATGAACGAGCGAGCGATGGTTGGTAAGGAACAAATGGAAAACAAATGGAAAAACTGGGAAACATCAATAAACATGGTTCAATTAATGCCGCGAGAAAACACAGAATGTTTCTGCCGTGTAGCAGAAACATATTTTGGTTCTCGAAAACAAAAATTGACGCTGGAAACTGGGAAGCACTCACTAATTCGTCAACGATTGTTTTATAAACAATTGAATCAAACGGGCTAGCTGGCGCAAAGACTTGCATATGCACTAAACAATGGTACTATCCTTCTAACATTCCTTACGCTTACTCAACATCCATCATACAAATCGTCATAGGAGCTCATTTCTGTCGCTATCGTTGTCGGAGCACTGTCTGAGTTACAAACAAGTCGAGGAAATTAACAGAAATGTGTCATGTGACATGTCATGACCTTGATATTTTAAAAACGAAAGAAAGGCATGCCACTTAAACTGAAAGAAACAAATATATCAACTAAACATAGTAGGCTTAAAAATCCAAACTGGCGGGAGGCAGACCAGATGGCTATTTACAAGCATGACCGAGGAGTTGAACTAGGGTCTACCGAGAAACAACTCCAGCTTAGTGGCCAGAGCGGGAATTGAACCCGCGACCTCCGGATTTCAAGTCCGGCGCCTCTGGTCTTAAAAAGTAATTTTGACAACACAAGACAGATATGAAGTTGTACAGAATTTTGCATTTGCTACAGATATCACTTGCTATTTTGTCAAAGATCTGCACAAATTCTCACTTGCGATGGAGAAATTAGGTCAATATCCAAATATGCTATAATTTAATAGCCCAACAAGCAGTAATTATAACCATCAGTCTGCGGACCAACCATCTCACCCCACCTCCCCACCAAAAAGCAAGCGTCTCCATAATAGAACAGTAAAACAGATTTTTTGCCATCGTTGTCATTATGATAATCTTATAAATCGACTTGTCCCAACACGTAGGTGACAGTCGGCACGTATGCATAGAAAGCTCTTGTAGTCATTTTAATGTACATCACAGCAAAGTTCCCTTTCAATCGGAGCAACATGTCGTCTGCGCACCTACACCCGATCTACTTCGTTCCAGTTTTCTTGTTCATTTTTGCACTTGATCCAGCCACCGAAGGTACGATAGTTTTTATCTTAAAGTTCCGATATCGTAATTGTCATCTGAAGTTTATTTTATGTCTTGTCGAAAAGATTTGAACAGTGGACGGAAATTGGGGGAGGGGCGCACCGATTGAGGAAGTTATTGTTTAGTAGAGCTTCTACTATGATAACAAATTGTTCTTAATTCCTCCACAGCACTCGGTTTCAAGACTGGGAAAGACAACATAACTACCATCACACCGGGACTGTTTGCTTGCAAGGTGATCTACTATCCAAGTCCCTTCTACGGCGGACAGCAAGTAACGGTTCTCGCGTCAGTTGGCCATACCGCACAGAACCAAGCGCCTCGGAACGGCGCTGTAGTCTGGGTTGAAGCTGTTACAGCAAGTGAATTCACAGCTTGTGTCCTTGAATTCGGAAATGGGTCCAACAAGACGGTGGAGGTAAATTGGTTATCCTTCCAGGCTTCACTGCGTGGATCTCAGATTGGTACTACATCTTTAAATTCCTGGACAACTGGGACGAAATGCGAGAGGATCGATTTTCAGCAGGTAAGCATTGCAATTTCCTTCTGTTTTCAGCTGATTATTTTTTCTCAACAAAATAAATGTTAGCTTAAGCAGAATCTGTGATTAGAAAGGTTGCAGAACATTTATATTTTCGTAACGTTTCCTCACCTATTCAATCTTACGCTCCCTCGCTACCTCGTTCCTTCGTTCCTTCGCTCCGTCGTTCCCTCGTCTACTCGCTACCTCGCTCCTTCACTTTGTGGCTCCGTCGCTTCCTAGCGTCCTCGCACCATCGCTCCCACACTAATTCGCTCCCTCGCTCTCTCGCACCCTCGCACTCTCGCTCCCTCGTACCCTCGCACTCTCGCTTCCTCGACCCCTCGTTCCCTTGTTCCCTTGCAACCTGGTCCTTTCGCTCCCTCGCTCCCTCGTTCCCTCGTTCTCTCGTTCTCTCGTTCTCTCGTTCTCTCGTTCTCTCGTTCTCTC